TACCACTGAGCTACATCCCTGGTCCTTTTTACATTTTGAGACAGGCGCTCACTAAGTTGCCCAGGCAGGCCTTGAACATGCAGTCCTCCTGTCTCAGCATGTCAGTAACTGAGATCACAGGCCCGAGATCACAGTTGCCCTATCCCTGAACCTGATGTAACTCTTTAATCCTAGCACTTAGGACACAGAGGCAGGTGGATCTCTATGAATTTGAGGCCATCCAGGTCTACATAGAGAGACCCTTTCTCAAGAGATTAGTGGAGGTAGGGAAGGAGAGGAAGGGAGTGGAACTAGAATTAGAATTAAAATATAAATTTCATCTAGTTGGTATCCGATTATTTCTTTTTGAAGTATAGCACTCAGTACCAGTGAGGGGGTATAGCAGTCAAGTCATAGCCAATATTAATATGGGTATAATACTCTACAATTTTCTGGAGCCAAATCCATCAATATTTGTGAGGGACTGAGTCATTGGGGCCATGAAAATATGGCTCAGTGATAGAACTCTTATTCGGTATGCATAAGGCCCTGAGTTTGATTGCCAGCACTGCAAAAATAAGTAAATAGAGTAGTGTGCTCTAAATTCCATTTTCAGAAACCACTTTAGGGAAATACTCAGAAGTTTGGATGCCCGAAGTATAGACACAAGTCAAAAGAACTTTCAATTTGTGACATTTGTGTGGGGTGTGCATGTGTCATGGCACACATATGTCACAGTACACCTGTGAGATGAAAGGACAACTTGTATAATTAGTTCTTTCCACCAGGTGGGACCCAGGGATCAGCCTCAGGCTGTCAGACTTGGGACAGCCAGCATTTTCTAGCTGAGCCATCTTACCAGCCTTGAAACACAGCACTTTAAAGTGTCGTGGGTACTACTGGGGGCAGGGTCAGATAAATTCTAGTATAGATTTCAGAACATCAACCAATCATTAAAAATATTTTCAAAGAAATGTAAAGGCTTAGGAAATTGTTTCTAATAAAATTTTATGGGGGGGGGACTTAAATCTTTGACACATCCACTGTAGCAGCTTTTGGGGGGAGGATTAGCTGAGCTTCTTGTTTGGCCAGTCTGGAAGTCCTACTCCTTGTAAGTTGTACAAATTAATTATACAAATTCTTCCCCTAGAGGGAGAAAGTGGGACCCTCCTTGTGAAATGAACATCTCAACATGGTGTCATCTTGGCCAAATATTAGTGTCACAACCTAGAATCTGCCTGGACCTGCAGGGGGTAGTCCTACTATGTAAACCAGAGTCCCTATACTAGAGATTATTCTCATTTTGTTTGTATTTCTGTAGCTAAGCTTAATTTTTTTTTAAGAAGCCAGGTAGTGGTGTCGCACACCTTTAATCCCAGCACTCGGGAGGCAGAGGCAGGCGGATCTCTGTGAGTTCGAGGCCAGCCTGGGCTACAGAGTGAGTTCTAGGAAAGGCTCCAAAGCTACACAGAGAAACCCTGTCTCGAAAAACCAAAAAAAAAAAAAACCTTAAGGATTTATGTGTATATTTTCTTGCATCTATGTCTGTGTATCATGTGTAACCCGTAACTGTGGCTATGGATAACTGTGAGCCACAGTGTGGGTGCTGGGGATCAAATCTGGGTCCTCTGTAAGAACAAGTGCTCTTAAGCACTGAGCCATGACTCCAGGCCCTTAGCTAGACTTAAGAGTATTCTGTGATCCAACGTTTAGTTTATATGGATATAAACAAAAATCAGAATGAGTCAAGTAAACTTCTCTGAGCCTTTAGTAATTAAAATATTAAGTCTGATAAGGTATTTCTCTAAGAAAGAGGAATGGTATTATGCATTGTGTCCCAATATTACTGAGACCAGTGAACACTTTCTTACCCCACATTTCATGAGACATGTTCTACCAAGCACGTTTTGGTCTGTTTGACTTGGTATTTGGGCCTAAATCAGGAATACTGAGATGGCAAGGGAAGTATCTGCTGACAACTGGGATAGCCTTCCAGACACGAGGGCAGTGGTAGTAGGGATGGATGGAGGAAGTCCTCAGGAAGTCACTCTTGGCAGACATGCTGTCTAATACAGCTCTCCCTTCTCAAAGGGCGCATTTTGCTGGTATTCCTCCAATTTTCTGGGTTCTATTTGTATTGAGAACTTACCATGTGCCAGATATTGTCAGATTCTTGGAAGACAGAAAAGACAGTATCTGTCCTTAGTGCACAGTTAAGGGTATGATGCAGAAGGCAGTTATCATCACATACAGAAATGGTGAGGTGTAGGTATCCACAAGATGCCATTTTAAGACTGAAGGATAGAAGTTTTTAAATGATGAGAAAATGTTTGTTACCAGGATGGTTTATGAAGGCCAAGAAAGGGTGAGCCAAGAGGGAACTGGGTGTGGGGTGTGGGTAGAAAGGCAATGAGGCTGCTTGTGGAAAGCATGTGGCTTGCATAGCTATATAGTATAGGATATAAGGCACTGAACAGGGTGTTGGGGTGCAGCTCAGTAGCAGAGCTGCTGTCTAGCAAGTGCAAGGTTCCATCCCCAACAGGGAGGGCAGGTCAGAAAGATGAAAGGCTTTACATGGCACACTAGTGAGTTGGGACCTTACTCCCAAGATGAAGGGCGATTATTGAAGAATGTTCAATCTCAGAATCAGATTTCGCTTTAGAGAGCTCTCTCTGGCAGCAGTGTATAAAAGAGAATATGGAAGCTGATCAGAAACACAATTCAGGAAGTCTAGTAGGAACCATCAGGGCTTGAACTAGACAAGTATGGCTTAAGAAGATGGCTGAGAGTTGAAACGTGGCACAAAACCAGTGTGATGGCAGACCTGTATTCCCCACACTAGGAAGGCTGAGGTAGGATCATCCAGAATTCAAAGCCAGCCTGGGACACATAGTGAGACCGTCTCAAAAACAAAAACAAACAAACCTGGAGATGGGTGAGAGAACTCACATATTGGGTGAGGACAATGCAGATTTCTGCCTTGAACTACCACAGGTAATGGCAGAGCTACATCCATAATCCAGGCAAAACTGTGGGCCAGATGTGAGAAGGGATGCAGTACTTTGAAAAATAAATGTCCCCCAGTCTCAGGCATTTGAACACTTGGTTCTCAGTTGGTAGTGCTGTTTGGGGAAGTTCAGGAGGTGTGGCCTTGCTGGAGGAATTCTTCTGTTCTTGGGTGGGCTCTAAGAGTAAAAAGCCTGTGCTCCGTCTAAGCTGTTCTCTTCTACTTCACGCTTGCATTTGAAGATGCGAACTCTCAGCTTCCTACTCCTACCACTATGACCATGCTTGCTGCCATGGCCCTTGGCTACCACGGACTCTCATGCTTCTGGAACCATAAGCCAAAGTAACTTCCTTAAGCTGCCTTTGGTCATAGTATTTGATCACAGCAATAACAAAGTAACTAATACAGGAGATAAACATGTTCCGTTTGCTATGCCACTGAAGGACATGAGGAATGTTCAGGAGTTGGCTCAAACCCCAAGTTGAGAAATGTGGATTTGCCAGACAACAGAACTAAAGTTTGAAGGGAAGCTGTAGGTGTGTAGGAAGTGTGTAGATAAAGAAAGCAGAGCTAAAACCCCAGGAACTGTCACCTCTCACTCCTCTAACTCCTTACAGCACTTGCCTGTCACCTACATGAACGTGCCATGCTGCAGTGAACACTGAGCTCAGGGTTTACTGTGAACATAGTAACAGTAACAGCTAGCCCTGAGGGTCTTTTCATTCGAGGCAGTAAGAGAAGGTGTTTATATGCAAGGAGACTATGATCTAGCCACAGAGAAAGAATTCTGTACTACACTATTGTGCAAAATGAACGAAATCAAGAGACACAAATGGGTGGAGTGTAAAAGAGGCAACTAACTCACTGGGTGGAAATACAAGTTTCAAGGGGAAGGTGTGTTATTTTTCCATTGCTGTGATAAAATACCATGACCGAAGAAAATTATAGGAATGTTTTGAGCTTACAGTCCCAGAGGATTAGAGTCCATGGTGGCAAAGCAGAAGGAGCAGGCATATGGATAGAGCAGAAGCTGAGAGCTGAGGGCTTCCATCTCTATCTACAAGCAAGAAACAGAAAGCTCACTCAAAATGGCAAGTCTTTTGAAATCTCAAAGCCTGCCATCACTGACATACTTTCTCCAACCAGACCACACACCCTTGGGACCAGGTATTCAAATGCCCGAGATTATCGGGGGACATCCCCTTCAAGCATCACAGGAGCATCTGAGTTGGGCTTCATAAATTAAGTGGGCTGGCAGGGAAAGGGAAAGACAATTTGAGGCTGGAGATGAATACACTGAAAGATAACAACAGAATGTAGCAAGGATATAGGAACAGAGTGCAGGAAGTGATGGAGAGAAACGCTGGAAAATGGTCTGAGTGAGTCAGGTCCTTTGGAATCCTGCTGAAGTTTCTTAGGACTTCATGTGAAAGAAGGCGTGTGTGTGCATGGACACGTACCCAAGACTTCTGCCTATTTTCTAAGTTAAGGAACACCTTTAAGAACAAGAAGGAGCCGGGCGGTGGTGGCGCACGCCTTTAATCCCAGCACTCGGGAGGCAGAGGCAGGCGGATCTCTGTGAGTTCGAGGCCAGCCTGGGCTACCAAGTGAGTTCCAGGAAAGGCGCAAAGCTACACAGAGAAACCCTGTCTCGAAAAACCAAAAAAAAAAAAAAAAAAAAGAACAAGAAGGAAACATCAGAGAAAACCTAAAGCTCACCAACTGCAGTTGAGGGCCGTATATGCCTTTTCTCGGTTCTAGTATTTCTATTCTGTAAAACTGAAAAAAATCTTGTTAGTGAATCTTTAATTACTTGGCTTTATTATATCATTTGCATTGCATAGAAGAATATAAATAATTTCACTCTAATGCTCTCACTTGATGCTCTTCTGCTGAAAACACTGGTAGAAATCACACTTTTCTTGGCATGTTGAAGGATAATAAAGTATACTATTTATTAAGTTATTAGTGACTTAAATGTGAAAGATTAAATAAAAGACTAAATAATCAGATAAAGACTTAGTTTTAAAGATTAAAAATATTTTATTTAAACTTTTCTTCATAAACACTTTTAACTTTTTTTCAATTTAAAAACAGAATGGATAGCATAAACATGTTGAATAGATTATATCCACGGCTTGGGAAAAATTACCTGACAAAAAAATGTAAAGGCTTTCAAAACAGGTATAAAAGGCAAACCTTAAATTATTCTAAGATTTTAATATCGGCCCTAGGATCATTTGACTACTGGCCCCAAAGGTACCTAAAGGTCGAAATATTTTTCTATAGACAAAGTATGCCCAAGAGTATAGGGCATATGCAAATTAGGTAGAAAAGAACCTTTCTGATCACCTCTTAGGAACAACCCTTTCAGAAAACAAACACCCAATCCTTACTGATATACTGATTAGTAACTTTCAATGCAGTTGTTCCCAAAGAAGTCAAAAGGAACCCAAGAATTCTAAGAGGGAACAAAGCTGATGGCATTCTCAATGTTACTCACGTAATATTGGGAGTTATACTGATATAGTGAAAGGATAGGATTTCCATGAATTATCTATTCCAGTCCATGCCTAGGGGGTATTTGAAGTAATAAACTCTCAATAAACTAATTTTTCAGGACTTTAATTTTAAGATAAATCTCTTTTTAGAAGATATTTATTCCCAAACCGACTCTAAATGTAATTAAACAAATGTATGGTCTCTCAAAAATGTTCAGAATACCAAAAAAAAAAAAAAAAAAAAAAGGAAAACGTGGTAGGCAAACAAGCAAACTGGCACTGGCAGTTTCACTGCCGTACGGCCCTCAATTCTTTCTAATTTACACTACTGTCTATGTTGTTGTACTTCAGTCTAAAACTTTTAAATTATGTATTCTCCAAAGAGCTAGTCTCTTTTGAGAGATAGCTTATAAACTGAAATAACGATTTATATTATAAACTGAAATGTTATGACCTACACCCACATATACATATATAAAAATAGTCCCACAAAACGTTTGACATGTTTTTATGCAGCTCAAATAATTTGTTATAAAATATTTTAAAGCTTAGTTTCATGTAATTAAGACAAAACTCTCCATTTTACCACTTCTTCCCCACACAAGTGTGTGTGTGTCCTTTACTGTGACTCAAGCAAGCTTCCCAGAATGAGGTGTCCAAAGGTGCTGCTTTAAAAAAGATAGGAGAAGGGCTCAGTAAGTATTTCACAATTAGAGTAACACTCACACAAGGTAGAGCAATGAGGAGGACACAGAAAAAGCTATCAAAGAAAGTTAATCATTCTATAATGCTTTGCCTTTTAGAAACCAGTAGCATTTCTTCCAATACAAAACCTTCAACATGAGAATCTTGTATTTTATGAAAAGGCTGTAGTGCAAGGATTTTCTTTAACATCAAAACTTAGAAGGTCAAAGACATGTAAGAAAATAAGTGGTGCCAACTAAAATGCAATTAAAGAAAACTGGCTACTTTTTGTGAAGTCTAGTATTTAAAATGTAAAGTAGAAGATAACACATTTAAAGATCCTAACAGTTAAACCATATAGTTTCAAACCACTTACTGAGCTTTTCCAAAATAACTGTCTTGTTCATATACAATGCATATAGACAAAGTGGTTCCAAATGAAGCACAGAAAAGCTTGAAAAAACTCTATGAAAAATTTTCATAGTTTAGTATAACAAAAATAAATCTCTTGCAGCTATTAAACCATAATTTTAAAAGGGAATGTAAGTTATTTGTTGATTTATAATCTAAATTAGAACTACAGTTTCCTCATACATTCAGAACCCAAGCAATATCAATTAGTCTTAAAGCTCAAAACTGATTACTGCTAAGATTATAGTCAGACATGACTTACGTGATGCTGAACCCAGAATTAGTTCAAGTTAAGATTTCATGAATTTTCTGAAACAATCGTTGACCTTGGCCTTGTATCTTCAAAATGGAAGACCAAGAATAGTCAATTGTTTATGCAGATGTTAACCTACACAGGACTATGAAGTTGATCAAAGCAATTAAAGAGAACTGCCACTGGAGTGTAAAGCCTTTGATACGGGTACCCTGTCTGATATCCTTTTCTTGGTCATTGCCAACAAAAGATATCAAGAAAAATAATGAAGACATTATTTTCTTTAAAGAAACAGATATAGGCCGGGTGGTGGTGGCGCACGCCTTTAATCCCAGCACTCGGGAGGCAGAGGCAGGTGGATCTCTGTGAGTTCGAGGCCAGCCTGGGCTACAGAGCGAGTTCCAGAACAGGCTCCAAAGCTACACAGAGAAACCCTGTCTCGAAAAACCAAAAAAAAAAAAAAAAAGAAACAGATATAAAATTCTAAGTATATTAGAAAAAAATTTGATGGATAACCTAATTTATAGTTTCCAAAAGCAAAATAATCAAACTTATTTTTAAAATAAAAAAACCTTTACCCACATTCTAAGGGAAACTCAAATACCAAATTTTATTTTCAGAAATCAGAAATAAATGAAAGGCCACCTAATGAAAATGGAAGAATCACACACAAAAGAAGCCACTATTTTGATTCCTGAAAGGAAAAAAAAAAGGTTTCTTTAGAAAGTATACCTGACACTTTCTAAAACTCTAAAACCTCTGGTTTTAGTTTTGAAAAATCAGGCCTTATTCACACTATGAACTGCGGCATGGGAGGAGAGAGGGGGAAGAAATCAAAATCTTCACATTTCCATGACTTCACACTTTCATTTTATGTTCAATGGTGCCAGCAGCAAAAATAAAACAAAACAAAGTAACTACAAAAATTTATACAACAGCAGCCATAGAAAAGGCATTGCAATATTGCACCAAAATCCACAGATCTGGCAAGCTATGCCAGTATAAGATTTAATCAGCTACAGACTGCTCATGAGAAAATGGCATCAGTTTGAATAATCCACTCACAGATCACTCTTCATTTTGTCAGCTATATTTCTTTCCTTCGCATTTGAAGAGTTGAAATGTGCAGTTGATCCTAAACTATTTATTATAAATGCCTTTAAAACAGCTATTCAAGAATCATTCCAAACTTTCTGGTGACTATCCTTCATGCTAGTAGCTTCCAGAAACTAAAAAGACGCTGAGGGTTGATCTATCTCTCTAGTGCCACTGAATATTTTGTACAAACTGATCAAGCAGATATAACATTATAACTAATTTCTCATCCCTCAGTCAGAACTGAGTTCAAACTGTGTAAGAGTTGCTGCTCCACATTCATCACCTGCAGCAGTCTTACTGAATAGAAACAATGGGAGTTGCACTTACTTTTAAGGGGCTTTTACTTAGGAGTCTGGTATTACTTAACTTTTCTTTAAAAGTGCTTGCATGCTGCAGGGTCAGAGCTTGACACAGGCCACTCTGATTCTCACTAAAACAGGGTAACCAACATTAAGCAGACTGCAAAGAAAAATATTTTCAAACAAGAAAAAACATCCATTGATATGAAATATTAATCTTTAGTTTTGAAAACAAAATGTAAAACACTAGTTTTTTTAAATCCATACATGTTTCAGAAATATTAATTTAAATTTTACTGAACCAGTATGGACTGAAGATAGACTACTTTGATACTGAATGAGGACTCCAGTTATTTTAACTTTCTAAAAACATTAATACATTAAAGACATTACATCTAAATTTCAACAAGTATGGCAAACTGTATGTGCAAGTGCACTAGCTTAAAAATATAGACTCCTAACCACGCATAAAAGGATGTGTCTTATATATTTATACGATGGATGTGAGTATGGATATGCTTTCACTAACACAATGCAGATAAGAGAAGGCAGCTTAGAAATAGTGTTCTGATATAAAAAACTTTTGTAGAAAATTTAAATTTTTGCATTTTCAGCAAAAAGCCATGCAAAAAGGTCAAGAGTTTTAAACTTTTAACTAATAAACCAAAACATATAGCAGACTAAAATAATGTCCAAAAGAGTTCAGATAGAGAGGGACTGAAATCACATCCAGTGACACTTACTGGGTCTTCTCTTGGAAGATGCACAAATCCTACACTAACATCTGAAAGAAATGTTTAAAGCAGAAAATCAACTTCCCAGGTAAGTGGAGCAGTGAATAAACTGCTTCTGGAAGTAGTTTCAAGAGCTAGCGCTTTAAATGAACTTATTGCATGAGTTTGAGGCCACTGAAAGGAAAAGAAAGATGCTAGCACAGAATGAAAACTTACAATATTCGACCAATGGCTTTGATAGTAAAACTGGTGAGGTTTTTCTTTATGTTTTAAACTACTTTATCACAAATGCTTTATTTGCCTTGTTTTTTTATGGGAGAAAGATATCGTCAGTTGCAACGCCTAACCTCATCCAGTACATAGTCCGGAAAGTGTAGGTTGCACACCTGCAAACCATCCAGCTTGCAGGGCATCCGAGGGTACTCATCTTCCTTCCACTTATTTTCATCTGGGTCAAAGGTGAGAATGGAATCACTATAATGACCATTATAACAAAGGCCTCCAAGGACCATTATCTGTTTGTCCAGCACAGTCACACCATGGCCACTTCTACCAATTGGCATGGATGCCAAGATGGTCCACTGATCAGTATCTGGGTTGTACACCTCTGTGGAAGGGCAGCCCTGAGATTCAAAAGAGGCCCTCAAGATCACGCAGACACCACCAAAGACATAAAGCTTGCCGTTATAAGATATCATCTTGTGAAAGCATCTGGCATAATTCATCTTGCTCTTATTCTCCCAGCAGTTGGTGACTACTTGAGTTCTCCTGGTCCGCTGTTCTATGGTCCCTTCTTTACTGGGGTCAAACACACATACTTGTTTAGATGTGGAAGATGAAGTGATTCCTCCAGTGATAAACAACTTGTTATTGAGCACTGTTCCCTCATGTCCGTATTTGTTAACTGGATAAGGATCTACAAATTCCCATTTATCATTAGTGATATCATATCTCTCTGTTGAGTAGAAAGTCTCATCTCTTGTTCTGCCTGCCACAGCATAAATAAACTTCCCAATAACACCAACAGCAAATTCTGAACGGGGTACAGACATGTCTGCCATGCGCAGCCAAGAATTTTGTCTTGGATCATACCGGAACACTTTCGAAGAGGCATGGAACTCGCCATCTGGGCCCAGCTCTTCTCCCCCTAACAGGAATACAAAATTATTGACAATAGCAAGACAGTCGGGCCTGAGAGGTACTTGGGGTCCCTCCAGTTCCCACCAGACTCTTGGTTTCTTTAGAAGAAGTATTTTACTATTAACCATGCTATGTCCAATCATTCCTCGGAATACTGTAGTTTGAGGTTTGGCAGAACGAATACGGCTTGATTTCATGTCTAGCAAGGGCTGCTGGTGAACATTCTGGAAGTAATTCAATGCTTGGTCAACTTCATAGCGCAGCTGTCGAGAGTATCTATAAAATTCTGATGTTTTAACCTAGGAATACAAGTAAAAGAATTTAACCAAAAGAGGAACCGTGAATGTAAAACAAGCTATCAATGCCTACTAAGATGATCAAGATATTATCTTAAGACTCCTTTGCTAAAACTGCTTTTCCTGACAAAATTATTTCCTTTGTTTTCTACAAAGCTTTTTCATTGTGTTTCTTTTTGTAACTTGCATTTATAATCACGTACATATGCTCCCAAGCCTTTAAAAGATAACAATCTCTTTTTAAGGTATAATTTTTAAACAGAACAGCATTTATGAAAAAGTCTCTCATAAGACAGTATTATATTAGGCCCTAGACTACAAGTGGGGATCAGGTAAAACAAAACAAAACAAAAAAAAAAAAACAAAAAAAAAAAACAGGGCTTCATAGTAGAAAAGACCACATCTGCAGTTTTCTTTCTCTTTCTTTCTCTCTCTCTCTCTCTCTCTCTCTCTCTCCTCTCTCTCTCTCTCTCTCTCTCTCTCTCTCTCTTTCTTTCTTTCTTTTTCTTTCTTTTTTTCAGTTTTTTCAAGACTGGGTTTCTCCATGTAGTTTTGGTGCCTGTCCTGGATCTCGCTCTGTAGACCAGGCTGGCCTGGAACTCACAGAGATCCGCCTGGCTCTGCCTCCCAAGTGCTGGGACTAAAGGTGTGTGCCACCACTGCCCAGCTGCAGTTTTCTTAGCCAATGATAATACATACCATAAAACAAGTTCAAGTGAATCATTTGGAGAGTTATGGTAGTGAGTTAGTGAAAACTTTACATACATACACAATTCCCAGTAGGTTTTTGACACAGACTTAGTATGACATCAACAACTCCTGTAAGTAACAATTCAGCAGGCAATAGGTCAACTTTTCCTTTCCGTTTTTGAAAGTACAACTACCTTAAGATGACTACTATGAAGATCTTAGGAAGCACTTTTAAGTGCTATACTAAGCACTATTGGGAGATAGAAAGGTAAGTGTAAGAAGTGGCATATTTCCTCAAAGAATTTAGGATATATTTAGAAAAATGAAAGCATACATAAATGGGCCAAGAGAATCAGTTGACAGGTATAAAGTAGTATAGCACATCTCTGTATAGTAGCACTTTAGATATAGGTGTAAGAACATATCAAACCAACCTAAAATACCCAAGAAATACTTCGTAAAAGAGGATGCTGGAAATCAGCAGGGAAAAATTCTGTTTTTAATGACAAGGATGCAGTAAGAGGATCTTATTAAATCTGGACAGGAGAACTAAAACAGTATGGAGAGAGAAAATCTCTAAGATGAGGGCTAGAGATGTAGCTAAGTAGTAGAGTACTTGCCTACTTTGTGGCAAGGCCCTGGGGACCTTCTACAACACTGGAAACAATTCTACAGATGACTGTGACTAATTTGACACTGAACAGAGTAGAAAAGTGAGAACTTTAATGTGATTTGTGGGTTTAAACTTGAGGCATCACATGAGTAGTGGATTATCAATATGAGAAAAGCAGCTAGGCTTTGGGAGAGGTACTTAACTCCCTGGTGGGAAAATTGCTGGCAGGGTGCTGAAGGAGGAAACTTCTAGGAGCCTGTTGGAAATCTGAAATGATAGCTCAAGAAAAAGTCAAAAGCAGGTATATGAGCTTTCTCTCCTCCCTTCTTAGGTTTCTTTCATTAATCTACCCTGTCATTAATTCTCCCAGATAAGTCCCAAAAGATACCAGATATAATAAGCTATCAAAGTTAAATGTTTTCTTAACTGTATTCAATAGAACTGACTGCTTTTGTAATTCCAGGCATTTCATTTATGCAAATAAGACCATCATTTTAATATGGAGGTTCTCTCCCTGGACTTCACTAGACTAGCAAAGGCAGAACATCTTGTCTAACCCAGAAGATGGAAACACTAGCTGTGTTGGGCACTTCACCTGTGGAGATCTTGGAATAATCTTTAAAATTATTCCACCTGTGAAGAGAACAGTAACAACCCCTGATTTCCAGCTAAGAAAATTGAAGCTTAGGATATTAAGTAACATTCTCACTCAAGTTATTTACAGAACTAAAACTGGTAGATCCAGAATCTGAAGACAATTTTACTCGAAAGTCATGTAGTTTCCAGTATGTTGGGAATACAGCTTCCATTCTGCTTTAGAAAAATCTTTAAGTAATATGTTCATTAATAAAAAAAAAAAAACCTAGCTAGCCAGACAGTGGTGGTGAACCCCTTTAATCCTAGCACTCAGGAGGCAGAGGCAGGTGGATCTCTGTTTGAGTTTGAGGCCAGCCTGGTCTACAGAGTGAATTCCACAACAGCCAAAGCTACACAAAGAAACCCTGTCTCAAGAAACCAGAAAGAGAAAAACCCTAGCAAGAGATTGGACCTAATGATTCTTCTCAAAGAAAAGAAACTATAACTGTCCTTAACAAAAACTATCAGTCATGCTTGGTGGGTTGGTGCATGCTTGTAATTTTACTTGGGAGGAAGAGACAGGGGGATCAGAACTGTAAGACCATCTTTGACTACATAGCAAATTTGAAGCCAGCCTGGGCTGCATGAAAGTCTGTCTCAAAAATAAAAAAATCAGTTACTGGGATGACAATGATTACATATTCAGCTCAATTCTTTCTAGTAAAACAAGTGTAGAAGAATTCAGGAAATAAAAACTGTAAACAAATGATTGCAATAAAGAAGAATATGAAAAAAGATTCAATCCTTTACTATTGTAGTTCACATATTTAAAAAGCTTCAATCTCCACTGGGCATGGTGGTGCATGCCTTTAATCCCAGCACTCGGGAGGCAGAGGCAGAGGCAGGCGGATCTCTGTGAGTTCAAGGCCAGCCTGGTCTATAGTGTGAGTTCCAGGACAGCCAGGACAGTTACACAGAGAAACCCTATCTCGAAAAACAAACAAACAAACAAAAAGCTTCAATCTCTTGTGAGAAATAATGGGATAGTGGCTTAGCAACTAAAGATAGCATCATTGATTATATTTGTTAACATGGAAAGGTGCTCATAGAATATTCAGTTATTTAATTTTATTTTATTATTTTTGTTTGTTTGTTTTTCAAGACAGGGTTTCCCTGTGTAGCATTGGCTATCCTGGAACTCACTCTGTAGACCAGGCTGGCCTTGAACTCAGAGATCCACCTGACTCTGCCTCCTGACTGCTGGGATCAGTCAGTTATTTTATTGGTACTGATCATTGAACTCAGGTCTTGAATGCCAGGCAAGCATCCTACCAACTGAGCTATATCCCAGACCTTCACAGTATGTTCTGTTCACTGTCTGAAGAACAACAGTACCCTGGCACTATACCAATTAAATACATTTTTATATAAGCTTACTTATGTTACTATTAATTCTCTCTGGAATTTCACAAATATTTTTGGTTCTTTTTTATCATGTATCATATTTATAAATAAAAAAGGAGTTATTTCCATTTTAAAAATGGGTGTCAACGGTAAGAGCACTTGCCTAGCACATGTAAGCCCTGGGTTTGATTCCCAGGACCCTGAAAAAAGAAGTTGCAACGATCAAAACTGTACTTCAACCAGGCATGGGGGCACATGCCTGGAATCCAGTCCACAGTAGGCCAAGTGGAAGGCAGCCTGGATTACCTAGTGAAATTTTGTTTTGGTTTGTTTTGGGGGGCAGACATAGCAGTTGAAAATTTCATAAATAAAAATGAGTTTTTCTACTTTCTTTCTCTATTTACTTTTTCTATGAATTGCCTAACAGTATGCTTTATTTTTTATCACTTTCTTTTTGATCTGTTGGAATTAAAAGTCCATACTCTGTAAGTACAGACTAACAAGCATTAATGTAAGATTAACAAGAATTAATCATGGTGGTGCAAGCTATAATCCTACCAGTCAAAAAGATCAGGAGGTTAAGGTTATCTTCAGCTACATAGGAAAATGGATACCAGCCTAAGCTACATGAAACCCTATCCTGAAAGAGAGAAAGAAAGAAAAAAGGAGGGAAAGAGGAAGGGGAGAGAGAAAAAAACCAAACTACATTAACAGGGGCCACAAACCTCAAATTACATATTTGAGTGTCTAACACAACCAGTGGTCTGGGTGCCACACAAATTCCCAAATCATAGAATTCTGTCCAGCATAGTATTTAAACATCTTGTCAGGCAACCCAGTATGGAGATTAAGAATTCAATTTAGAAAATTTCTGATTTGGGAACACATTAGCTGTACAAACTTGGACCTTTTTTGTTTTTAATGTGCATCAGTGTTTTGCCTGTATGTATGAGGGTGTCGGATCCCCTGGAACTGAAGTTACAGACAGTTGTGAACTGCCATATAAGTGCTGAGAATTGAACCTGGGTCCTCTGGAAGAGCAGCCAGTGCTCTTAATCACTGAGCCATCTCTCCAGGCCCAACCTTGGACCTTGTTTCCTCATCTGTTATTATTGGGGTAACTTCTTAACTCTGTGGCAGGAGATGACTGAGATAGCTCATGAGCAAAGGATTTAGTTTGGTGTGTGTCATGTGCCCATGTATAGAAGTCATCAGCTGTTACATTAAAAGTTAGTCTGTAGAGTAAGGCAGAAATGAGAGGAACCTATTTTGGACCTAACCCTCTAGTAGAAACATGATTGGTGATATCCTAATAGAATAGTACTTTACAGAAAGCAGCCTTTGAGAAAGGAGAAAGCTTCACATCCTAGACAGGCAGCCTTCAAGTTTTTCAAAAGAAAATCAGAAACTTTGCAAGGAAGCTTAGGAAGGCTTGGAGGTTCTCTGAAGTCTAATGCTAACTCCTTAAATTGCAAAACACTGAGGAGAGAAAAAAAAAGTAACCTGGTATGGCACACAGAGTTATCTGGAATTCAGATGTTAAAAAACAAGCTCATAAAGCAAGTATTATGAAGTGTGGAATGAAACTGTAAGAATGCAGTAAAAGCCGGGCGGTGGTGGCGCACGCCTTTAATCCCAGCACTCAGGAGGCAGAGCCAGGTGGATCTCTGTGAGTTCGAGGCCAGCCTGGTCTATAGAGCAAGAACCAGGACAGGCACCA